TGTATTAAGTTTTAATTACACCAGGTTGTCGATGAAAGTTAATCCTACCCATCCCACAGTGAAACCATTAAACGTGCAACAAGGCTAGAAATAGCATCATAACCGATTCCAACAAATACAAACTTTTCAAATTACATAAGTTATCGGATCTATTATTTATAGTTTCTTCAAGTTAGCTGATGTAAACTATAGCTATGATTTGATATATATATAATCTAAACAACACAATCAAATATGTTGACTGCCACATTATGGTGTGTACATTTTGAAAGACCACTTCTGTGTTTTATTTTGCAGGTAACTTTTTGTGTGACATAATGTTGTCTTCTACACACTCTGACCTGGCCCTTTTAAATTCTGGAACTTTGCGCTCTGATCGGATTCATCCTGCAGGTGATTTTATAATGAGGGATTTGGTGACAATCTTGCCTATGTTGGACCCCCTCGTGGTCCTTAATGCTACAGGTAACTACCTCTTTTTCATTGGTTAAGATTTCTGAAAGTTAGAATATGATGATGTTTTTTAATAATTACATTTTCTATGTTACATTTAATCAACAGTACAAAAAGAATGTTCTCAGATTGTTGTTGTTTAGGGTACAGACTATGACTGGGTAAATGTAAGTACATAGAGATGCAACTAGGACTGTGACAAAGGTTAAATTATATATATTACATCGACTGTTATTGCATATGCATATTGTCCTCAACAGATGAAACTTTTAACAAAGTGAAGAAACACAGTGTTAGTTAGAATTAGAATGATTTATATCTACTTTTTATTTTCCTAATTTAATTTTATGTTTATTATTTTGTTATAATGATTATTCTGCATTTTTAGCTCAGTACATGGATTTAGAATAACCTAAGCCTCCTGGACTGGCCGAACCTCACGAGATATTATTGGGATTAAGGCTAAAAATATTGTTAACAGTGAGGGTATCCAGCTGATGAAACAAAATGCATTCTAATTGTTATAAATAATATGGTTTGAACATTATGCTGAATTACACATGCTCATTTCTTCGTATATATATATATATGCGTGTAGTTCCGATCTATGTAGGTGCCTCAAGTTGATAAAAATTAACATCAAATGCTAATTTTTAATTCTATTTTTGTAAAAACTACAGTTAGGACATCATAAGTATGAAAGTACGATAATAAGTTATTAAATATGTCTAGAACTATTAAGCCATTTTTAAGCTGTGGGCTGAAATGATTCAACAAACCCCCATTCTTCAGTACTTGATGCTTACATATGTAGCGAACACTAACTTATTGAATAATGACTGTTTACTCTACTGTATTCAAATGGTTTAGAATTTTTTTATTTGTTTTAAATAATTTATTCACGTTGTAAATGAAGGTAATCTCTATCACCAGGGGAACAAATATGGAAAGCATTAGAGAATTCAGTATCTCAGTATCCTAAACTAGAAGGCAGATTTCCCCAAGTTGCTGGAGTCAGTTTTGCCTTTGATCCGTCAAAGCCACCTGGAAGTAGGATCGATCCAAAATATATCAAAATTGGAGATGAGTTCATGGAATATGACCAGGTACGAGATGTTCGACTTATCAAGAGAAAACATGTTTGAACATGAACTGCGTAGGGGAATTGTGTTAAAGGAAGTATTAAAGTACACTTAAAAACTTCTCACTTGTATTCAAACTAACTGAACTCTTCAAATGTTTCAATAAATTATAGGTTAAATATCAAATACACATTTGGCAATAATATAGCTAGATGATACACCAAAATCAAGTGAACTTGTATAAATAAAGATCCTTCATTAAAGTTACTGTAACAGGGAATTACTTTCAAACTACTCCAAAACTACTTGTTCAGTTGAGCACTAGTAGTTCTCATAAACAAGTAAATAAACATGAGTTTATTTATTTGTTTTGAATTTTGTGCAAAGCTACACGAGGGCTATCTGCGCTAGCCATCCCTAATTTAGCAGTGAAAGACCAGAGGGAAGGCAGCTAGTCATCACCACCCACCGCCAACTCTTGGGCTACTCTTTTACTAACGAATAGTGGGATTGACCATCACATTATAACGCCCCCACGGCTGAAAGGGCGAGCATGTTTGGTGTGACGGGGATTTGAACCCTTGACCCTCAGATTGCGAGTCGAATGCCCTAACCACCTGGCCATGCTGGGCCAAATAAACAAGAGACTTTACTTACATGTGAAAACAACTTAATACTGCAAATTTCTGTTTTTCATTTCATAATTTCTAATAGCTCGCTCTTGAAAATGAATCATTTAAAGTAAAATAAGGATTTTTGTTTAACAAAAGTTACATTTTTAATTATTTTGTATATAGAATTTTACAATAAAAATTGTGTTTGTGAAATGTTCTTTAAAGCCAAGTTACCTTACAGTTCAGGTTCTTTATTCATCTATTTTCTAATGCTGATCAAGTTTCGTTTATTACACTGTAAAGAACGAGTAATTGTGAAACAATAGGGTGGCTACATAAAAATTCCATAACTTTCCAAATTTATAGACCTGCACATGTACAGCACATTTAAATTACACTTTTCTCTCATAGTTCTACCTACTTAGCACCGCTATAGTTTATGTTCTGATTACGAAGGTTAATAAAAACTTCTTAACATACTTGCTTTAGACAAGGACATTGTAATTTGACTTGATGCATTTTTATTTACAAAAATAATATTTGCTCTAATTTGTCAAAAAAAAAAGTATTCAATTGGATAATTATAAAAAGATGAAACAAATACAAGTTAAATAATTGGCATAGCTAAATAGTATGGTTTGTGTGGGGAGGGGGAAAATTGCCCACTGTTCTCTCTCGTTCAAAAATATTTGAGATAATGTTTCAATTTTCCCTGATGTTTTACTTCTTTTTCAAATTACCAAGATTGTAATCACTCTGCACAACTATATTCTTGTGTATGCCACAAATCTATTATAGGCTTTAAATAACAATGCACACAAGAGCTTCTCTGGTTCTTTATCTACATAATATTATTAAGATTTTCTGAAAATATGCATCTGAGTCTAGTGCAAACTATAATAAAGATCAGGAATGTTTCTGAAAGATCAAGGTGATGATTTCCTGCAAAATTTGCGTACTTCTTGTAAAAATGTATATTCGGCTATATTAGCTTGAAAATCTAGCCTTGAAGCATTACCCTTAGAAACTGGCAACTTTAATTCTTTAGGAACTACTTGAAAACTTCTGAATTAGGAACTATTTCTATACCTCTAAACAAAACAAAGTCAAATTTCACAAAACCCTAGTTGTTTTTTTATTGTAAATTTACCTAACTTTTAGATTATTTATCCTAGTTTTGACTATGATTCATTCATTGATATATTTGTACATCAGGAGTTATTTACAGTTTTATAGCCATCAATGTCTAGCTATAAAAGACCTCAATTTGTTAATGTTAATTTACCTCATTTTTAGATTGTCTCGGACAATAAGTCTTAAAACATTGGGTTTCTAGACTTAGTCCAAGTCACAAATCCTTGCAATCACTACCTTTCAAGTCTGAGTCACAAATCATAGAATTACTTTCACCTGTCAGGTGATCCTGAAGACTATTGGCATTTAATTGTTGGGGGGGGGGGGTTGTTTGGGCATTGATAAAATCCAGACAGCGAAGGGCTAAAAAGTTTTTAATAAATATTATGCTTTCTTTTTTACTATATTTGGAGAATGAATAAATCAAAAGTTCTATCCAGATAACATGAGATGTGTGTGGGGTTAGGAAAGGAATCTTCAGTTCTACTTATTATTAAAACTTTAATAATAATAATAAATACATTTGCCTTCTAACCAGAGTCAAAGCAATTAAGAACAAAAATATGGCCTAACTTACTTGTCTGGAAGGATGCATGAAAATACCTGTTAATGTTAGATGTCCCCAGTTTTTCTTCATTCTTTCTGTTACAAAATTTACACACAGCACACAATTTTGACAATATTATATTTGTTTAGTAATTTTTAAAGCCATACACCATAATTCTGGCCATAGCAGCAGTCATAATTGTGTGGGAAAAGTAGTTTCATGATTTTTATTGCCAAGCGATAATCGCTTAACGTCAGAATGAAGAGAAATTTTAGTTTTACTTTTGGGTAGCTTCCAAATGTAGAATTTATTCTGTCCGAGTGATGCACGATCAAGTACAGCAAGTCTGGTTTAGCTTTAACAGTCAGTTATTAGTAAATCAGATACTGGATGTTTCTCAGTAATTCCTTCAATATTTCCTCTAGAAATACAAGTTAGTGACAAAGAGCTACTTGGCTCAAGGAAGGGATGGATATGATGTACTCAAAGAGTGTGAGGTTCTGGTAAGTATGTTTTCCCATCTTAAACTCTGATAATAGTTGTAAGATAGTGTAGTAACCCTAGCCTAATGAGCTCTTTTCAGGTGCCAAGTACACACCTACATATCAAATTTCAAAACTTAAATAAAGATAATAATAATACTATCTCAACAGTATATTAGAATTGGTATTTCATCATATTATAACAATCATATTATATTAAGGAGTTGTCTGTAAACAATGTAGTTATTAACTTAATAATTTTTCTACCTTTCCCAAAACATAGGTTTTTATTTACTAAGAAACTATCATCCCTTGCTAACGTAAGTGAAATGAGACTTGGTTAATTATAATTTTACTTCTTTTTTATTGTTTATTATTACAAGCCTTTGTTCACGTCACGTGTTGCCAGGTCTTGCAAGGGTAGGAACAACTGCTAATGAAGAATGTCTTTGAAAATGATAACAAAAACAGAGTTTGAATGGAGAGTATTATAAAATATATATGGCAAGGATACGTTTTCACGAACAATAGAATTTAGGGAAAAGTTTAGAAGACTTTGTAACAATGGAGAAAATTAGAGTTCTTTTAATTTCCAAAATTTTTTTAGTATTAAATTATATTTGTTTTAATGTTAAAGCAATTTTCTGATTTTCTTCTCTGACACTATTGGGTAAACTTTGTTAGGTTTGGAGGTGTTAAGTAGAGATGGCAAAATATTCTGCTGACTCAAATCCTTACTTATTGAATATGTTTGTTACATTTATTGTTCTCAAGAAAACTTATGATTTATTGAAAATAATGCATGTTTATTACATATTATTCGATGTTGACCAAGAATATTGTTGCCTAGTCTGACCTAGCAGCATTTTGAAATGTCAGTTCTCAGGTCACTGATAAATCTTAGCCAGTTTATGTGTTGTTGTTTTTTATGATTTATTGTCAGAAGTGATGACTATCGCACTTGACAAACTAGTTTCAAAAGAAATATTTTGATGAATATCGGACGAGTTAAAAATTGACTGGGTATATAAAATGGAACTAATGCAACCAAGAAAAATCAAAATTCAAAGGAGGTATTTTTAATATTATTTCAAAACAGTGTCTCTGAATGTTTTTTAAATTTCACAACCTAAAAAATTATTAAAAAAACAGTATATGATACTTTTAAAGTCAAAACTAGATACTATTTAGTAAATTTGTCCTAAGTTTCATGGAATTTGGTTAAATATTTTATCTGTGAAAACAGGGGGAGGATAAAGGGTTGCCAGTGACACTCCCCCTTCTGTGTCGGGAAAGAATTAATATTTTGAATGAAACCCAAATAGGTATGAAAAATTACAGATTAGAGTTATAATTAGTTAACATTTATTGGTATATTTCTGCTAGTTCCATAAATAGATCACTAATTGCCTCTTACAACCTGTAGACAGTGAACCAGTCATGTCTGTATTAGTGGCAGCTTTGGAAACATACATTGGGAAAGAAGATATAGTTGTTAAGTAAATATGGCTTAAGATATTTTTATAAGAATTGAAAACTTCATACTAATTCAGTTTACTGTAAACTGTGGTTATAGGGCATGATTACGAACAAGCACAACTTCTCTATCGCGAGATTAGTTATTTTCCAAAGATCAAAGACGAATTTCAACAACCGTGGGAAAGCTGCAGCAAATTTTCAAATCCCCAAAACTGTGGTGACTGAGCTCCTTTACAAGTAAATACCTCCATAATTTACAGTGCATTAAGTGGAAAGACTTCATTACCAGCAATGACCTATGTGAATGATCTAAATGGCTTACATTTCAAAACTCATCCAAAAGAAGTTTGAAAAAGAACTTGGCCATGTCCTAGGAATGCCACCCAACTGACTTTCAGAACAAGCCACAGTGTTGCACACAAAATAAAAGATGTTTACAAAGGGACCCCCAGAAGGACAATCCTTAGGGAATGAAACTCAGTCTACATTCCATCAAAAAAGCTCACAAAAACTGTTGAGGAATGTGTGCTGTAGGATGTCACTGGGGAATTGTTTTATAAATCTTTAACACAACCAGTACTCGGCTTTGTTTGGGTTATTATGTTGATAGTGTGTGTGCATTCTGAACCCATTTTAGCATAAAAGTATAGCCTAAGTTCTTTGCTCTTGGAGCTTTGGTAGTCACATTTCTTTTCTATATGGTTTCTCGCATAAAAAGATGCATGCACGCATGTAGATAATTAATAATACCCAGGTGCACACCCACATCCATATCTTTTTATGGAGCCACATTTATTTTCTGTGTAGTTTTTTGCATAAAAAGATGCA